AGAACTGGTTAAAAGACAGGGAACAAAGGGTAGGAATTAATGGTAAAATCTCAGAATGGAGAGGGGTAACTAGTGGTGTTCCCCAAGAGACAGGCTACCTCATTCCATAGTGACCCTGCATACCCAGCACCCCATGGGGACTGGTTACTTCATTCTAAACTGACCTGGGGAATGCCCAGCCATTTATGGATAAGCTGGGGGAGCTGAGGAGCAGACTTCATTTCCATAAACACATACATTTTGCTAGTATGCTCAGCAGACAGACCTGCATACAGGAAATATAGTAAAAAATATAGTAAAAAATTTTTAAGTTAATCAAACTGTACCGCAGAATCTCTATGGATAGAAAGTCCATGCTCGAATAACCTGCTTTGATCTGTACCCTCAGTACTTATAATCACTTAAAATCTATCTTTCTGTAGTTAATAAGTTTGTTTTATATTTTTTTACCTAAAACAGTGTGTTTTGCTAGAAGTGCTTGGGGAATCTGCTCAGGAACAGAAACTGGTGCATGGTCCTCTCCACACTGAGAGAGGGGAGGACTGAGTAATAAACTTATACTGGTCAGGCCTTTGACCAGGGCAAGACGGTACAGCTCTGGGGTCTTAGGCAGTGGAGCTGGTGGGGAGCTGTCTGGAACCTCTCTATTGTTAATTCATGAATGGCTGAGGAGAAGCATTCATGTAACTGCAGCTGGGTGTGTCCCTGCCTGTGTAGATGTTTGTGGGACTGCAGGACCGGGAGCGGTCTGAAGCTTTTCATAGCCTCACAGTGTGAGAAGGGGCCCGGATTGGTATGTCAGAGGGCTCAGCAATACCCCAGTTCCAGGTTGCACCCTGGGGAAACCCGTCACACCCTTCCACAGGCAAGAAGCTGCCAGCTCAGCTGCTATTATTTGCAGTTCCCTCCAGGGAAAGATTTCTGAGCAGGGATGTCAATGGACGCTGGCCTTACCAGTCTGATTTTCTGTTCCTCCTCCAGGATGAAGACGTTTTCTTTCTGAATGTAATACTCCGCTGCATCAAGCATGGCCTTCTTGGGGACAAGCCCCACCAGCTGGGAGCCCACCACGGGCAGGCTCAGCTCCTGCAAACAAGGACTAGCATTTAACAGGCCTCTAGCATTACAGTCCCACAGCCTGGCCACCTCTCCCACTGCCCCCGACTCCTGATCCGCACCAAGGGGTGCACCGGACTCGAGCAGGACCTTCCCATTCTAGGGGTTGGGACTCATAGTCAGAGATCTCACTTTGCTGGTCCTTCCTGCTGCTGTTTGGGCCCAGCCACTGACCCCTCACTCCCATTCGCAGCACATAGGATCTGCACAGCTGGTCACCTGCTTGCCTCCCCTCCCCCAGTTCTACAGCAGTGAGACCTTAATGTCACAACGGGGGCCTGCTGCCACCATGCCCCTCACTCTGAGGGGTAGACATCCCAGTGTGCCTGGTGCTTATGGAGAAATGCCATGGAAGGCCGTACACAGGTGGGAGGGAGTGGGCTGGCTGGCTGGCTCCCTAAGGGATAAGAAGTAGGTGTATGCCATTTAGCAGCCTCCTGAAAACATGGGAGGAGGAGAGGATAGCTGGCAACTCACCAAACGAGGCCATCTAGACTCCCTCCCGAAAGGCACTGAAGGTAGGGTACAGAAGCAGAGGGGACCCCACAAATAACCTTGGCGTCCAGGGTGTTCCCTGTATATGCTCATAGATCTTAAGCCTAAGCCAGCAAACTTGGACATGCCGCTGTCCCACACCACGTGACTGCCAGTCCGGAGGGGACTGTGCAGCAGCTGGCACGTCTCATGAGGCACACATTCCTGCTCCCTTAATGCCTTAAGTATGGAGGGTAGGTTGTGGCTCCCTGTGTATTCACATACACACCTCCTACAAGACAAGCTCTTATGGCATAGGCATAAGGACTTTCTCTTGCTCCACCAGCCACGGGCACTTTGACTGTAATTTTACTTCTCTGAAGGAGGCTGGTTGCGCTGGTTAAAGCTGCTTCAAACTTGCATAGCACCTGTGCAACTCACCCGGGCATCTTTGCAGACCTCCTCATAGACCGTGTGGAGGGAGGTGATTTCAAAGTCCAGCAGGTTTGTAGAAACCTGGGCAATATTCTCCTCATCCAAGTACCAGCCCATGCCTTGGACCTTCTTCAAACGCCCAGGCTGAAAAGAACAACACACTTCAGAGCTGTGTTGGCTGATGAGCCAACTCAACCCTGGGAATAAGCCTGCAAGAGAGAAAGCATTCTGCAGATGAGGGGAACTGACTGATACACAACTGGAGGTCACTAGCCCACAGCTGTAAATATTCGGGTTTGCTGATGACCCAGAAGTAGCAGCAGCCAGATATTGTACTGTGAAGGAAGAAGAGTCCATACTGATAATGGATAACGTTGCCTTCATATTTACTTGTACAGATTTAATGGAGTGGGACTATGCCCCTTACCGACTCCCCTCTAGTTATTTGTTCTGCTCCATTCGTTGCATGGGGCCTTGCATACTAATAGAAATGGCAGGTCCCTGCCCTGAGGAACTTACAGGCTAAAGACTGTGGGCACAGATAAGAACATAACAACATAAGAATGGCCATACTGGGTCAGACCAAAGGTTCATCTAGCCTAGTATCCTGACTTCCGGCAGTAGCCAATGCCAGGTGTCCCAGAGGGAATGAACAGAACAGATGATCCATCCCCTGTTGCCCATTCCCAGCTTCTGGCAAACAGAGGCTAGGGACACTATCCATGTCCTCCTGGCTAATAGCCATTAATGGGCCTATCCTCCATGAACTTATCTAGTTCTTTTTTGAATCCTGTTATGGTCTTGGCCTTCACAACATCCTCTGGCAAGGAGTTCCACAGGTTGACAGTGTGTTGTATGAAAAAATACTTCCTTTTGTTTGTTTTAAATCTGTTGCCTATTCATTTCATTCGGTGACCCCTAGTTCTTGTGTTATGAAGAGTAAATAACACTTCCTTATTTACTTTCTCCACACCAGTCATGATTTTATAGACCTCTATCATCTCCTCCTAGTCGTCTCTTTTCCAAGCTGAAAAGTCCCAGTCTTATTAATCTCTCCTCATATGGCAGCCGTTCCACACCCCTAATAATTTTTGTTGCCCTTTTCTGAACCTTTTCCAAGTCCAATATATCTTTTTTAGATGGGGCAACCACATCTGCACGCAGTATTCAAGATGTGGGCATACCATGGATTTATATAGAAGTGATATGATATTTTCTGTCTTATTATCTATCCCTTTCTTAATGATTCTCAACATTCTGTTCACTTTTTTGACTGCCACTTCACATTGAGTGGATGTTTTCAGAGAACTATCCACAATGATTCCAAGATCTCTTACTTGAGTGGTAACAGTGGTAACCCCATCATTTTATAGCTATAGTTGGGATTATGTTTTCCAATATGCATTACTTCGCACATATCAACACTGAATTTCATCTGCCAGTTTGTTGCCCAGTCACCCAGTTTTGAGAGATCCTTTTGTAGCTCTTCACAGTCTGCCTGGGACTTAACTATCTTGAGTAGTTTTATATCATCTGCAAATTTTGCCACTCTCTGTTTACTCCTTTTTCCAGATCATTTATGAATATGTTGAACAGTACTGGTCCCAGTACAGACCCTGGGGGACACCACTATTTACCTCTCTCCATTCTGAAAACTGACCATTTATTCCTACCCTTTGTTTCTTATTTTTAACCAGTTACCAATCCATAAGAGAACCTTCCCTGTATCCCATGACAGCTTACTTTGCTTAAGACCCTTTGGTGAGAGATCTTGTCAAAGGCTTTCTGAAAATCTAAGTTCACTATATCCACTGGATCCTCCTTTGTCCACATGCTTATTGACCCCACTCAAAAAATTCTAGTAGATTGGTGAGGCATGATTTCCCTTTACAAAACCCATGTTGACTTTCCCTCAAAAAATTATGTTCATCTATGTGTCTGACAATTTTGTTCTTTACTATCATTTCAACCAGTTTGCCCAGTACTGAAGTCAGGCTTACCGGCCTGTAATTGCCGGGATCATCTCTGGAGCCCTTTTTAAAAATTGGCATCACATTAGCTATCCTCCAGTCATTTGGTACAGAAACTGATTTAAATGGTAGGTTACATAGTAGTTCTGCAATTTCATATTTGAGTTCCTTCAGAACTCTTGGGTGAATACCATCTGGTCCTCGTGACTTATTACTGTTTAGTTTATCAATTTGGTCCAAAACCTCCTCTAATGATACCTCAATCTGGGACAGTTCCTCAGATTTGTCACCTAAACAGAATGGCTCAGGTTTGAGAATCTCCCTCATATCCTCAGCCGTGAAGACTGATGCAAAGAATTCATTTAATTTCTCCGCAATGGCCTTATCGTCCTTGAGTGCTCCTTTAGCATCTCCATCGTCCAATGGCCACACTGGTTGTTTAGCAGGCTTCCTACTTCTCATTTACTTTTCAAAAAAATTGCTATTACTTTTTGAGTCTTTAACTAGCTGTTCTTCAAATTCTTTTTTGGCCTTCCTAATTATATTTAAACACTTCATTTGCCAGAGTTTATGCTCCTTTCTATTTTCCTCGGTAGACTTTAACTTCCACTTTTTAAAGGATGCCATTTTGCCTCTCACTGCTTCTTTTACTTTGTTGTTTAGCCACGGTGGCACTTTTTTGGTTCTCTCACTATATTTTTTAATTTGGGGTCAGTGGTTCCATGTTATGCCTGCTCTGCCCATACTATGCATTCCAGTACAATACTCCGCAGTGCATTTTCACATGTTATGCTAACAAAGACCGTAAGCTCTCCTGCCAGACTGACTGAGGGTATTTCCACACTGCACTAGGAAGTGTGAGGCAGCTTTGATCTTGCTAGCGAACAATAGCAGTGAAGTTGCAGCATCACAGACTGTAAAGGCCATGTGGGACCCTGTGTGTGTATATCAGTGACTAACCCATGCTGCTCAGCAACACTGCTATTGGTACCCACCCTATCTAGATCAAAGGAAGCTTGGGTTTGTCCTCACATGCTGCAGTCACCCCTCTGATTGCAGTGTAGACAGACCCACAGCCTAGCTCCAGCAAACACGTGTTTTATGCTGAAAGCAACGTGGCCACAGAAACCAGTAACGTTCCTCCCAACAAAAAATACAACAAACAAACAAACAAACACATCCTGTTTTATTTATGATGACAGCCTTGGCGTCCAGCCTCCATTGCTCAGCCCCAGAAACCCACCCTCAAGCTCCTTCCAGATGGATCCCTCTAATCGCCTGCTCAGATACACTCCCATCCTTTGGAGCACATGATTCCCACGGTCAGACAAGGGAGTCCATCCTGAAATCTTTCCTGTCTGTGAGCTCAGCTGGGCCCCCTTTGGCAAGTGCCCCCTGCTGCTCTCAGGCTGTTGGGTCACATGAGAGATTGACAAGGCAGTTCTATAACGTGCAAAGTAGCTCTGGGTGCTGCGGAGAGTCATAAGCAGCTTCCCTTCTTTCCCAGATCCAGTAGATGGGTCCTCAGACAAGGCTCTGGGATGGCCCTGGGGGATGACTCAACTGACACACTTAGAACATGGGATACTCCACTCCCATGTACAGAGTTTGATGAAACAGAACAGACACCACCCCGACGGGAACCAAGTACACACCTGCAGGGACATCATGCCTGCCCTTAACCAGAGAGCACCATCATATACTATAAATGGGTAGATATGTCAAGGAATATAGGAACCACCTTACATTAATCAAAGCCTCATATGCTCTTCACCTCAAAGGTCATTTGTTGCCTGCTCAAACAAGCCAATGTTGCTATAATAAAGGTTGCATTTACCCAGCTTACTCTGATCTAAGGACCCTAAATTCCTCCTCCCCTTGAACCATAATTCAGCAGCATGAAAATAGCTGAGGGGGGTAGTAGACCTGTACAAGCCCAGTTTGTAATTTTTGTACAGATCAATTCCGGTGTAGCCTGTAACACAAACTGGCACCAGTCTCCCTTACTTTGGGACAGCAAAGTTGGACAACTCAAATCTGGAGAATTGTGGAATTAGGAGTGGGTGGGAGAGGGATTTATTCATTTGTTTATTTTTGAGCCAACGCTCTAGTTATCCAGTGCCCTCTCCCACTGAAGCCTGATTATTCTGAATAAGGAACTTAATGGGCTTACCTGGTCCTTCGCGCGGCCCTGCTCCCGGATGTTGAGAGCAATCCGATGCGCCAGCTCCTTTGTGCACAGGAGGTTGATGTTGTACGCAATGAGGAATGTACGCGCACCAGTGACTGTGGCTCCCCATCTTGGAACAAAGGACGCAGCGCCAAAATCAGGAACCCACTCAGCCTTTGTGAGCTTAGAAGAGAGTGAAAGAAAGGAACGAAATCCATTGAAAAGAAACTCCTCATCGCTTAAGGTCAGCCGGGTTTATTTGTCACTCCAGAGAGCTGATTGCAAGTTAATTCAGAATTCATAGACTGTCACAGGAGACATGGTGCATTCCTCACTCAGAGCTATTCCACGCCCAGTCTCCAGTACTGTGTGTTAGTGTGTGTGTTCCGCTGGAGCCAAGAGCCCCAATCTTAGCACAAGGCAAAACAACATCTGGCTCAAACAAATGACTAGGGTGGAGAGGAAGGACAAGGTCACAATGGAACCACCATGCTGAGCACAGTCCGCAGCAGCCTCAGTGCAGCACACCGGCTGCCTAGCCAAAAGAACACGTTCTGAGTGCACACAAAGTATCTGGGAAATTCCTGAACTACTCAGAAGTGCTCCCTCTTCTCCCCATGACCCAGCACAACCAGCTTTATTAACCTTTCCTCAAATTTCTCCCAATGCCCCCTCTTGGCTGACACCAAACAAGAGACATTTCAGCCCCTATGGGAGACTCTAAGAAACTATTAGGAAATGAAAACAGGAGCTCACAGAGCTGCCAAGTTCTGTACAGCTCCGTGGGCCACATGTCTTACCAGCAACCAACCATTGCTGACTCCCTCTGGGCACCCCGGGCCGTGGGACAGATCTAGTGGGGAGGTACAAGCCATCCCTCACACCATGGAGAAGGTAGTGACGGGGGACTGGGGAGATGCAGGGGGCGCTTGGCGAATGGGGCAGCCAGAGTGAATGGGGAGCCATTGATTCACAGATCCATAGAGCTTAAGGCCAGAAGAGACCATCAGATCATCTCGTGTGACCTGGGCAAAGAAGTCCCGCAGTTACCCCTATATTGAGCCCAATGACTTGTGCTTGGCTAAAGCCAATCTCTTCGACAGGCATCCAGTCTGGAGTGGAAGACATCAGGAGATGAAGAATCCACCACTTCCCTTGGTGGTTGGCTCCAATGGCTAATCACCTTCATTGTTAACAGTCGGTGCCATACTTCTCCTTTGCATTTGTCTGGTTTTAGCTTCCAGCCATTGCTGTTTGCTCTGCCTTGCTCTGCTAGACTAAAGAGCCCTTTAGTATGCAGTATTTTCTCCTAATGAAGATACTGGGTATCAAGTCACCTCCCAGTTTTCTTTTTGATAAGCTAAACAGACTGAGCTCATTAATCTCCCACTGTACAGCATTTTCTTCAGGCCTCAGATCATTTTGTGGCTCTTCTCTGCACCCTCTCCAATTTTCCAACATCCTTTTTAAAACAGGGACCCCGGAACTGGGCACAGTATTCCAGCATTGTCTCACCAGTGCCATGTACAGAGGTAAATCCGGCCTACTTCTCCACACTCCCCTCTCTACACATCCCAGGATCGCATTAGCCCTTTCTGTATCACCATCACACCGGAGCTCATGTTGAGTTGCTTTCCACCCTCCTTTCAGCGTCACGGCTCTCCAGGTCACAGCGCCCCACCCTGTCGGCATCCCTTCTTCATAGATGTATATAACTTTGTATTTGGCTGTATTAAAAAGCATTTTGTTTAAATGGGCCCAGCTTACCAAGTGATCCAGATCACGCGGTATGACTGCCTTGTCCTCACTATTTACCACTCCACCAATCCTTGTGTCATCTGCCAATTTGCTCAGCAGTGATTTTATATCTACTTCCAGCTCAATGATGGAAATGTTGAGCAGCATCAGGCCTAGTGCCGATCCCAATGTAACCCTGCTGGGAACCGCCCCATTTGATGGTGATTCCCCATTGACAACTACCCTGGGCGATCTGTCCATTAGCCAGTCCTTCATCCATTACCAGGCGCTATTGATGCTGTAGAGTGCTAATTTCAAACAGTGTTGTGTGGTACAAAGTCAACGGCCTTCCAAAAGTCAAAGTGTATTACTACAGCTACACAGTTACCTGCATCAACCAAACATGTGAGCTCCTTAAAGAACGACAATAGGTGTGTTTGACATGACCTATTTCCATAACACTGCCTTGAGTGGCAGTAATTATATCCCTGTCCTCAAAAGCAGTATTGATCGAGTCCCATATCAGCTCTCCCACTGAGGACCAGGGGATTTCAGGGAGTCAGAGACTGACTTTGGAGGAGGAAGCCAGGGGGCTTGGTTGGAGATGGGAGAAGGATTGAGGGAGGGCCTGAGACAACTAGGAGACATTTCTGGGATGGGGCCTGTAGAAGGGGGGGGGGGGGGGGGGGGGGGGGGGGGCCCGGGGCAAGTGGGGGGGGGGGGGTTGTTGGGATGAGGCCTGTGGCAACCGGGGGGTAGGGGGGTCGTTGCGATGAGGCCTCTGGTAGCTGGGGAGTAGGGAGGTCGTTGGCTTGAGGCCTGTCACAAGTGGGGGGTGGGAGGCTGTTGGGATGAGACTTTTGGCAGCTGGGGGGCCAGGGGTTTATTGGGATGAGGCCTGTGGCAGCGGGGGAGGGGGTTGGGGGGTCATTGGCATGAGGCCTGTGGCAGCTGGGGCCATGGGGGTTGTTGGGATGAGGCCTGTGGCAGCTGGGGCCAGGAGGGTTGTTGGGATGAGGCCTGTGGCAGCTGGGGGACAGTGGGGTCATTGGGATGAGGCCTGTCACAGCTAGGGGACAGGAGGGTCATTGGAATGAGGCCTGTCACAGCTGGGATTCAGGGGGGTCATTGGGATGAGGCTTGTGCCAGCTGCGTGGGAGGGGGTCATTGGGATGAGGCCTGTGTCAGCTGGGGGGCAGGATGGTCATTGGGATGAGGCCTGTCACAGCTGGGATTCAGGGGGGTCATTGAGATGAGGTCTGTGGGATCTGGGGGCAGGGGGTCGTTGGGATGAGGCCTGGGGCAGCTTGGGGGCAGGAGGGTTGTTGGGATGAGGCCTGTCACAGCTGGGGAACAGGGGGGTTGTTGGCATGAGGCCTGTAGCAGTTGGGGGTAGGTGGTCGTTGGGATGAGGCCTGTGGTAGCTGGGGGGCAGGGTGATTGTTGGATGAGGCCTAGGGTTGGCAACCCTCCCAGTTTTGCTGGGAGTCTCTCGGAATCGGGCTCTATCTCCCGGAGGCTACTGCAGCCAAACCGGGAGATTTTAGGGTGCTAAAAGTATGGTGGTGCAGCTGGGTTAAGGCAGGCTCCCTATCTGCCCTGGCCCCGTGCCGCTCCTGGAAGCGGCCAGTACGTCACTGTGGCCCCTGGGGGGGCAGGGGTCTCCTTGCGCTGCCCACCCCCCGAGCACCGAGTCCACAGCTCCCATTGGCCGGGAATTGCCCCCAATGGGATCCGTGGGGGACGTGCCTGCAGGCAGGGGTAGCGCACGGAGCCCACTTCCCACCCGCCAGGGGCTGTAGGGACGTGCTGGCCGCTTCCAGGAGCGTTGCCAGGCCAGGACAGGCAGGGAGTCTGCCTTAACCCAGCTGCGCTGCCGACTGGGACCCACCCAAGGTAAGAGCCACCCAGTCGGAGCCGGCACCCCGCACCCCTCACCCCCTCCCGCACCCCAACCTCCTGCCTAAGCCGTGAGCCCCCTTCTGCACCCATACTCCATCCCAGAGCCCGCCCCACTCACCCCCTCCCGCACCCCAACCCACTCCCCCAGTCCTGAGCCCCCTCCAGCACCCAAACTCCCTTCCAGAGTTTGCACCCCGCACCCCTTCCTGGTGCCAGGCAGGAGGGCACTGCAAAAAGAGGAGAAATGCCCCCACAGGGAGGCAGAGCCTGAGCTGAGGCATCCTGGCAGCCCTCTGGCTGTGCGAGGTGCTGTGCGGATGTGGGGGCATAGGGCTCAGACCCTGGCCCTGGGCGATGAATGGGCACCTCAGCGATAGCATCACAGCACAGAGACAATCCTTCACTCACACCCTGGAAAACACTGTCCTGGGGCAGGGCCAAGCCTGGCTCCTGGAGGAGTTTGGCCAACGACTTCACTGGGCACAGGGTTAGGCTCCTCCCCTGGGTTTACTAGACTCATCTCAGAAGGGGGCGCAGCCTTGAGGGGCGAGATTTGTAAAGCCAATTGTACCACAAATTGTTAGACATACATTTTTCATTGAAAAATTCCAATTTGGGTTGACCAAAATATTTAGCAAATTTGTATAGAAAAAAACAAACAAATTCATAAGAACATACTAAGAAGAATGGCTATACTGTGTGAGACCACTGGTCCATCTAGCCCAGTGCCTCTCAACCTTTCCAGACTACAGTACCCTTTCAGGAGCCTCATTTGTTTTGCCTACCCCAAGTTTCACCTCACTTAAAAACTATTTGCTTACGGAATCAGACATAAAAATACAAAAGTGACCCAGCATGCTATTACTGACAAATTGCTGACGTTCTCATTTTTACCACATCATTATGAAATAAATCAACGGGAATATAAATATTGTATTTACATGTCAGTGTATAGTATATAGAGCACAGTATAAACAAGTCATTGTCTGTTTGAAATTTTAGTTTGTACTAACTTCATTAGTGCTTTTTATGTAGCCTGTTGTAAACTAGGCAAATATCTAGATGAGTTGATGTACCACGTGGAAGACCTTTGAATAAAACCTAAAATTCAACAAAATTTCCCCTCCAGTTTTTCAGTTTGGTCAGTGAACCAAAAACCTGGTTATTTGCACAGCAGTAATGAAGGCACTGCCGGCAGAACATCTCTTGGTCACTGTGGCATGCGTCACCAGGTGTTACTCCATGTAACTCCACTGGAATGAAGACAGTTATGCCTGGGTGAAACTGGGGTGTCAGAGTGAAGAATCAGGCTCAGAGCTTGTACCACCACTTGGAGAAGTGGCTTATTCATCTCCACTTGTTAATAGCAGATGAAACTGAGCAAAGACAAAAAGTTTTGTTTCAGGTTGAACAAAATGTTTGGTTTGGCCCAAAATGATCTGTGTGTGTGTGT